GCTTCATCCAATGGTTAGGGAAGCGGCCGATCTTTTAACTTTATTCGCCGGCAGACGCGTAGCATTGCCCTTGGATGAAAGGGTCATATTAATTATGCAGAGTACCATTCTTTTTCGGTTTTCACAATAGCAGGTAGTGCGGTTAAATATCTCAAGCCGGGATCAATTTAATTCAGGTAAAATATCATTTATGTGGGCTCCTCTTATAAACCATAGTCCCATTTTTATCATCTTCATGATCTGCCACATGATTCTATGTGACAACATCGAAGTGGGATGAGCCATAGAAAAAAATACTTACGGTCACGACGTATCTGTTGAGGCACTCATAATTGGTATTGAAAATCACTATTATATGTTTGCCCCCGTTGCAACACATGAATAAATAGCTAGTATACAAGTAAAGTCTACTTGTGGCTTAAAATCAACTCATAGAAAAAATTTATGGCAATAATTACAATTCATCGCAACAATGACCAATAGAATTGACTAGAAGCTGAGAGCAACGGGCTAAGCACCTTCAACAATGGAGCGATAAGTGGATTGACAGTGTCAAGATGCAGATTGCGATTGCGCTCATCGGCTTGATGTGGCCTCGAACTCACGAAGTCTATCTTCGAAGGAAATTGGGTTGCAAGGGACTCTCAAACTTAAGCTGTTGGGTATATGTTCTTTGGAACGATCGAGCGCGCGACAAAAGTTGAGGCTACTATGGCTTAGGCAAGGAGATGCCAACACACAAGTTTTCCGCCAACATGCTAGTAATCACAGGAGGAGGAACACGATAACAATATTACAAAGCAATGGCAAAATCGTAACGGGACAAAAGCAAATTGCCAAGGCGGTTGATGACTATTATGAGGCAATTCTAGCCACAATCCCCGAGCGTGCACATTCGCTCAACCTTGATGCGCGCGCATCTGTTCATGCTAAACCTTGGGCGCCCTTCACTTGTGAGGAGGTCGAGAATATAATAAAACTATGCACCGAGTCGCACTCCTTGCCCAGATGGGTTCACTGGGCATTTTTACAGTGTGTGTTGGACCATCATCAAAGGAGATTTCATGAGGGCCCTCGTGGCTTTTTACGATGGTGACATGCGTGGGCTCCCAGTCATCAACAAGGTATTGGTCTCTCTTTTGCCCAAGAATGATGGGGCAAGCGAGTTGAGGGACTCCCACCATGTGAGTTTAGTTCACGGGGTTGTGAAAATCTTTGACAAGATATTGGCCACCAGGCTAGCGGAAGATCTGCCGAAGTTGGTGAGGATACACCGAAGTGCCTTCGTTAGGGGAAGATCGATACATAAATTTTTTATGCTCGTTCAAGCCTTCAAGGCACGGTGAGAAGGTTGCACACACCCAAGAATCCCACGACGATGCTAAAATTGGATGTATCCTAAGCGTTCGACTAAGTTCAGTGGCCCTTTCTCGTCGAGGTCTTGCGGCAACTGGGTTTTGGCACTAGGTCAAAAACATAGTCCATATATGTGCTTCAGTGTTTGTAGTCATCGTTAAGTGGTCTACGGATTTGGATGAAATTTTTATGATTTATGATATTTCTTGTAGTGTCATGATTAAAGACGAACAAATCAGAAGTTTCTCGCAAAGAAAAAAAACAAAGAAGCGAATTATAGTGTAGTATACCAAACACTTTTATTTTGATTTTAAGTGGTACACTTCTTCCTGGGGTGCACATGAGGAAGGTCGTGAAGGTTGATGTCTAAAAGGCCACTAAGAAAAATTAATATGTGTAAGTGAAATCACAAAGATTTTGATACTTAAAGGGCTATGTTTTTTTTCTTTCGAAAAGGGGAATGGCCCCGGCCTCTGCATCATCACGATGCATATAGGGTGTGTTTGGTTCCCTGGGTGCACCTAGGCTGCATCGCATGCACGAGCTTGGCTGGACCGGCCTGGTTGAGCTGGTGCAAGGAGTTAAGATGTGTGTTTGGTGTATCGCATGATACGGCCCAGGCTCGTCTCAGATTTTGTTTGGTAGGCTGCATAAGACCAAGCAACATGACAAATGTGTAATTTGAATATAGATGCTTGTGCGTGCATGTTGAAATGGTGACAATCATCTTTGAAGCAGTGGGAGTATCGTCAGAACTTTGTTAGGTAAATTTAGCAAAGAATATAAGCAATGGTGCCGCACCTATTTATATAAAAATGATGTAGAAATTATTTGTGAAGGAACAAATCACACAAATCTCAGCCTAAATGCTAATCACCAGCCATCTCTAATCCTGGGGGAAGACAAGCTTGGGACATATCGCAGCCTAATCCATGCTGATAAATAGCCACGTAATATATAAACAACCCACATCCATATGAGGAAATGAGGTTGGGGACAGATCTCATACTAAATAAAAAAACAAGAGTGGAGGCTACAGGATAAGCACGCATCGGTGCCCGCCATCATCCCGTCCATGGACCTTCCCAGGCATGTGAACCTGCCTCGTCTTGCCTTCCTTCTCATCCCTGGACGGAAGGCCGCCGCTTCAATCTGCTCACGCATCCGAGCAGCGCGAGCGCCAGAGAGCTGGGGATGGGAGGGAAAGCGAAGGATGCGGACAGATGGTGGAGGGAGGGAGGAGGAGATCTCTACATCCGCCGGAGATGAAGATGCGCTGGCGATGCGGACAAAGGCGAAGGGGCGGCGAGATCCAGAGTCGCGGGAGAGAGGAGATGAGTGAGGACAGCGCCGCGAATGGAGGCGGCTGACAGACAAGCCCGAGCCCTTTGCTCGCGTGGATGCAGCCGCGGATGCAGGCTCGCGGAAACACCAAACCTGCGTTTCCACTCGGCCTGGCTGAGAGCCTCTTTTTGCATCCGTGGGGACTGGCCCAGGAAGGCATGCCGCGTACCAAACAGCGAGGAAAATGCACGGCGGGTACGAGCCAGGTGCGAGCCACGAAACCAAACACGCCCATAGTGAACCAACATATGATTGCATGGTTAGAAGGACATTGATATTCCCAGCCCATCGGTGTTCAAGTCATGGTGCTTAAAATGATATGTCGGCTCAGTCTTTCAGTGATGCTCATAGGGATAGGGTGTAAGTATGTGCATTCATAGGGGTTTATATAAGAGTAGAGCGTTTTAGCGGCCGGGCACCATGTAGCTCGGAATCTGGGACTTCCGCTAGAGCGTTGAGATGTATGCTCTGGCATATTGGTTGGCAATACCCAAAAGGAATACGTCCATTTACAGCAGTGCCGTGGCACTTTATACGCCTGGGATGCATGTGCCCGCGGACAGAAACGACTTCATTGATCGTGATGGCCCATGTTAAGTTGTTAACAACTGTCACCTCCCTCTCTCTCGTCCGTACTGAGCGCTGCTGAAACCAGCACTGACGAACATGAGATCCGGACATGTTTGGTGTTTGACCGTTTGAGCTCCAGCGGCAGCAACCTCGCGTCATTCTCCGTGGATATGTTGTGTATGGTTGTTGATTTTGTCCAAATCGAATGTTTTCATTATTACCCGATCTAAACACCTATTTATATTTTTGTTTATGTTTTATCAGATCTGAAAGCATTTGCTCTCACTTCACGTATGTGTTTAACCAATTTTTTTCAGCCAATCTTTCTTGCCAACGCAATCGTTCATGGCCCTCTTATGTAACTGTTCACCAATTGTTTTTATCAAGTGGAACTTTTCTTTTGCAGGGAAAAACATTTCGTTATTGAATCAAGGGGTTACAATCACTATGAATGATAATGTTGATCTTCTCGGAAGCATTCCCTAGCCAAAATTCCTTGATCATGTTGTGGATTCGTACATATGGTATCTGTAAGTGATTTTTTGGGTGATTTTAAAAATCAAAAATTATGTATTTTTGCACAATAATATAACTCTCTTATACCATGAGACCGGCAAGATTAGTAAACATCACGTGAGATATTATTATGCATCTCTTGATGAATCCTTAGTTGTACACCGAAGAACTTCTGTCCATGCCATAAACTTAATCATTAGAGTATTTTGTAATCCAGTACAATCTTGTTTTTTTTTGCGGGTCATAGTACAATCTTGTTCCTGCTGCAAAAAATGTACAACCTTCTTAATTCTGCAATCCTGTTTTTTGGTGACGGACACGAGATACTTTTGGTCACTTTGCAATGATATTTAGTGGTAAATCCTAATTACGCCTGACTTAATACGTTGATTGTTAATCAGTACTAAGTTAACACATGTTTTGATACATGCCCCCTGCAGCAATTGTACCAAACAAACAGAAACGGCAATGAATGGGCTGGGCAACGACCGACAGCACATATCCAAAAACACAGTACTTTCGGAAATTAATTGACCGTCTACAGGCGATACAGATCACGAGGGAACTAAGCGCTCAGGATATCGAGCTACATGGTGCTCGTGCACCAAAGTGCATTTTCGTTTATATAAGCGCTTTTGTGTTTGTACTGGGTTAGAATAAGCAACAGTTTTAACATCATACTACAACATAGATGCTTACATATATGTATATAAACTCATCTTTATATACGCATGTAAACGCACACATACCACATGAGCCTCGTAGTTGATAAGAACTTATCTTTCCACCAAACAAACATCATCGAAATGTTTAAAATAATTCAGAAAAATACGAGCATCTACCAAGTCTAAGACTTGAAACCTGATGGATTGGTTAACTAACCATCAGAACAACGCTCAGATCACCGATATGGAGCAGTTTGTGCTTATTTCCTTGTAGTGTTTGACTAACGCTTAACTCACAAAGAGCTTTGTTGATTCGAGACAAATAACGATTCAAATGATCCTAATGTTTGACTAACATAGCTGATTAATTTGTATTAGTAGTTGAAACGTACAGGAAGAGAAGAGTTTTCTTGTAGCCTGATTTCCTGCTCTGCCTCCTTGTCGTCAATCCTCCCGCAAAACAGTTAAAAAAAATCCTCCCGCAAAAGTCACGAAGCTCTACCCTCTCCCTCGAAAAGGAAAGAGTAGCTCGACCGAGCAACCCAATTCATGGCGACGGCGGCGTGTCCTCTCCCTCACCGGTCTCTGCTCCTCCTCCATCTGGCCCTCCTCGCTTTCCTGCTGGCGGCGGCCCCGGCGGCCCAGGCGTGGACGGGGGAGATCCGCGGCCGCGTCGTCTGCGACGTCTGCGCCGACTCTGCCATCGGGCCCGAGGACCACGTCCTCGAAGGTCAGCCCAACGAGCCTCTCTCCTCCTTCGAATTTATCTAGTTGCTATCGCCGCCTTCTGTGCTCTCGTGGTCACCGAGCTAGATTTCGTGCGACCGCGCTCCCGTGGATCTCGGTTCAGCTGTTTTCGATCACGAAATTTGGTTGGTCTGGTGGTGGGCACGTTAAGCAGAGTAGCGAATTTCGCTCTACTGGAAATTCGTGTGTGGGCACTGGGAAATTTCCGTGGAAAATTCTGGTGGAAATTTTAGTATCATTCAGTACAAATTTCCGTGGGAAATTCTGGTGGAATTTTTAATTGTGTTAGGCTCGTAGGAAGCGAGAATCATATAGGGAGGGGGTAGTTGGTTGCTGGTCGTCTGATCTAGAAATGAAAATCGGACATAGGTAAGTGGAGCAAATTTTATGTGTGTTCAGTAGGTTGTCTATTTGTATTCGACAATCTAGGCTCTTGTATTAAGCTAGTGAGGAGCATAGATAGGCACACATCATACTTTTAGTTCGGATTTGGTGGGGTGAGGAAAACCTATGAGCCGTTATCTGTATCTCACTCTAAGGCTGTTCTATTTCTAGCAAAAGGACCGAAGGAGAAAAAAAGGAAATAGGGTCTATACATGTTTTGGAAATGTATGTAAGTGGATAAAGTGCTTCCCACTGCTGTCGGAACAAATTAAATTACAGGTAACCTGTTTAACTCGAAACATGAACTGTAATTGAGGTGAACTTAACTCTAAGATATGGCTTATGAAATTCCCACAGAATTCCCTTAAAAAGGTTAATGGGGAAGTGTTATGGTCTTATGGGTCTTCCTTTGTACACTAGGTAGCAGGTAACCCACAGGTTCCAGTGTCCATTGTTTTGACATTTCTACCTTCTATAATAACAACAAATTACAGTTCTAGGCTTCTGACTTAGCAAGCTATTAAGGATGGCAAAATATGACCATATATGAATGTACTGCGTGCAATACAATATCACCCTTACTAAGTAATTTCTCTGGAGCTTGTCCTTGTATATATATTTAGATGATGTGTAAATTGTAGCCTAATTTTCCCGACGTGTCTACTGCACCATCTGTTCCAATTTATCTCTCTGGAACCTCCATGCACAAAGGAACCTAAAGATCAAAATTCAAAACTATTTTATATATGTTGTTTTGGTGCCCATGTAGGTGAGTATATTGGCTTGCAGGGAGTACATAATGCATCTTCAAATGTATGAAAGGATAGTAATTGGTCTAGTACATGTCCATGGAATATCCAAATGCATCTGGAAAGACAAATTTGTATCCACTTCTTTCCAGTTTTTCCTTCAGTGTTCAGTTTGCTAAAGTTGCAACTATGAACGGTATGCCAGAAGTTAATAGTGCTTCTGTTGGATGACCGTAGTTTTTAATCCACATGCACAAAGTCTTATGAAGTCTCAGTGGGCCTGTCCATGTCAGTCTAATTATGAAAAGTCATGATACAACTCAAATACAGAACCAGGTACGTGCATGTGCGCAAATCTCTAAGCATTTGGATTGCTAAGATAAAGGGATTATGAGTGCCCAAGCTCGCTTTTGCATTGACTGATTAACTGTACTCTTGATCAATGGACAGACTTTTCGAATCAGAGACTACCGAAACCTTGGACAATTCTAATGAAATGTAGGGGAGTACTTGTGATGCATGGCGACTGGGGATACCTTCAATAGATTTTGGATGCTTTTATGGCCTTTTTTCTACAACATGTACTTGTTATGGCCTTAGTTAGACTTGGCCTTTGAAATTGGTAAGCGGAGGTACATGGTACTCCTGGGAACTGGGATTGGATCACATGGGATAACAGGGAGGTGAAGCATCATCCTCCAGGCTTCTGTGGGCTTGTCCCAGCCAAAGCTTAGAGTCTCTGAAAATTGCTAAGGGTTTGATGTTTTAAAGTATCACGTACCAAATAGATTGCATGGACTGGATTTGCATAATAGCATGTACTCCCTCCGTAAAGAAATATAAGAGTGTTTAGGAGGGAGTACCAAGTAATCAGGTTAAGACATGGGCTTAAGGAGGATGACCCCCGGCCTCTGCATCTGGGCGATGCATGGGCTAAGATATGGACCGACTTACCTTTTTTTTGAACCGGGCTAATCCCCTTTACATTTAATCAAATGGAAATACATCAATTTCAGAGTTTAAACAGGGGACAGGAAAGAAGGGAAGCGAGTTGAACGCACTGCTAGGAAACCCAACTGCATACAGCTGATATTGGAACATACACTATGGGCGAAAACATAGACAGCACCAAAAGAAGCTAGTCCTATCACAAGCCAGAGAACATAATAAGTAAGGTCTTAAACTTCAGCAAACCGACACGCGGGTTCCAGGAACCAAACGCAACAACACAGCTCCCCAACTGAATCTGCACCAAGGAGCACAGGCCTCACTCTCCTTCGATTGGCCTCTGAGTTGCCTCGCAAATCCTCATCAAGTTCATCGTGTTGGAGCGATGAAGCTCTGCTCCACTCCTGAGTATCTTCGCGCCGCCCTCCTTCTGAAGACCTGCCCAGTAGATAAGAAAAGAGCAAGCAGAGTAGACAATCTCAAAAGCAGCCTTGATCATTTTATGCTAGAAGGTTGGTCAGTTTCGAGCATTCCACATAGCCCAAGTAATGGTCGCCAGGCCAACAGTATAGAATTTTTCCCCATCAGGCAGAAAAGAATAGCACCAGGAGAAATACTGCAAACCGTTATTAGGACATAAATCAGTGCCCAGAACAACCCCGACAGTTCTGCAGACAACACGAGCAACCAGACAAGTAAAGAAAAGATGCTGAGAAGACTCAACGTCTTTGCAAAAAGAGCAACAAGGGTTACCAGGCCATTTCCTTTGCTTCATTACCTGCCGTGTCAAAACAGCATTTTGGAACATTTGCCAGTTGCTACAGAAAATTTTGAATTTTCTAAGGCACCTTTGCATCCAAATCCATTTATAGCTACATCCACTAAGATGTCTCTCCAACCATTTATACATGGACTTAGTCCAATACTTAGCATTCTTAATGGGCTGACTCACCTTGCACAACTAGGTTAGAAGTTGCTTACTATAAGATGAAATGGTTGGTGTTTCTCTGACATATACTTCTTGAAAAGGAGTGCTCCTCAAGGATGTCTGGAAGGAAGAATGACTTGAAATATCATAATGCAGACAAATGTTGTAAGCATATGCTAAAGACATTCATGAACCTTTTGCTCATCAAACAGAAATCCGTAAATCAGTAAGAAATCTGGGAACATGTGCTGCTTGTTCTGGTCCTGTCAAGGGATGAACTAGACAAAGCATAAACACCAATCAGAAGGATAGGAGCCAAAAGAAAAAGGTATCAACATGCACCTACTGAGATGCCTAGATTTTGCTACTGCACTCCCTGGTGGCCATCCCTCTAAGCCCAGGGGCAATGGTGAACCTGTGTGGTGATGGTAGAAACCTCAGTGTCTCCACCGCCAATTCGTGGAGTCCATTTACTGGAGTTAGTCGCTGTCATCAATTCACAGGTTATCCCGCCCTCTGGTCTCTCCATCCTGCTCTTCCTACCGCTTCTTCCTCCCCTTCCGCTTCTTCTTTAAAAGAAATTCTCTCAACCATCATACTGTACTGGCACACTCATCATTCTGCTGGTGTAGATTGTTCCACGGCATGGGTACAGGCATAATTTCGGCAATTCAACCACTACATCAAAAAATAAAATTGGATGAGAGCGAGTGGCTGTTGAATCAACCATTTTGGAAATTCATGTAAGCCAATTTGGTAATTCAACCACCCATGAACAACAGATTGAGATGAAAATGCGAATGGGGTGAGCACTGGTGCTAGCCCAGGTGTCTACGATGGGTTTTGGCATTCCACTTTGGCAAGAAAAATAGGAAAATTTCAGAACGTTTACATGCTATCGAAGTGTATTGGAAATTGTTAGCGTGAATCAAAGTGGTGATCTTTAGGTGGTACCGAACTAAAAAAGAATTATACCTTGAACCTTGTCTGTGCCTGACACTGCTCAAGCACACATGTACTGCCAGTTTTTTACTAATTCCATTTTGTTTTCTTTGCTTTGGATTGTTCATTGTGTCGCATACAATTAAAGTTTCTGCGGGATAATCTCTCTTGTTCTCTCCTCTTGCTCATGTATGTCTTTGTGACTGTCTCTATAGGCGCTGAGGTTGCTGTTCTGTGCATCACGAAATCTGGTGAGGTCATCAACTACCAGGCGTTCACAAACTACAAGGGCGTCTACAGCGTTGCAGAGACAATGCCTGAGAGCGACCGATGGGATTCGTGCCTGGCAAGGCCCATCAGCAGCTTCCACCAGCATTGCACCAGGAGGGGGGACGCACACTCTGGGGTCAAGTTCACATACAACAAACAGTCAGGGAGCTCGCACAACGTCAAGACGTTCCTCTACAAGCCTGCCAACGTTCCTCTGTACTGTAGCTGAAATCTATAGGATGGGTTCATGCCCGGGCTTGATGTTGTAAGATCTGAATAGGTAAAGTGTTGGTCGACCCGTATGCTTGTAACGATCTGCCCATCTAGAGTTATTGCCCATGTCATTTGAAGGGGGTCGGATGTTGAATGTGTAATTATTGTAAATCACTATAATATGTTTCTCAGCCATATACATATAATCAATAAATATGTACAAAGAGTTCAAGTAATTTTATTTTCACAGATGTTGTACCGAGCAATCGGTGCTGCCGTGTTAGAGAAGGACGTAAGGGGTGTGACCGTGTGAGGGCAACGCCAGGAGAGTTGTCAAGACACTTGATCGCCAAAATAACCGTTATTATCAGATCAATAAGGCCTCAAGTATATCACTTATGAAAGATTTACAAAGGCTATCCAACACAAGTTCATGCTTAAACTTTTGGAATTTGACTTCACTGTGAAGTACTTCCTCTGTTCCTAAATATAAGTCTTTGAAGAGATTTCACTATAGACCACATACGGAGCAAAATGAATGAATCTATATTCTAAAATGTATCTATATACATCTGTATGTGGTTTATAGTAGAATCTCTACAAAGACTTATATTAGGAACAGAGAGAGTATAAAGAAGGCAAAGAAAACAGGGTGACTGATGCACTGTCCAGGATGTGTAACTCCAACTTTTCCATTTCTACAATCACACCTAAATGGATAACATAAATTACTGCTTCTTATCACAAGGATGAGCAATGTAGAGCTCTTTTAGAGCATCTCTTTATTTTCCTTGTCACTGACAATACTGCTTATTCTTTACATGCTGGTGTGATGAGATATAAGGCAAATCACTCATGAATGCATTATCCTGCGGAGTATACACTATGTAGCATGCATATCACCATGTGATGAAATAGTAAAATCCTACTCCCTCCGTTTTAAATTACTCGTCGCAGAAATGAATGTATCTCGAACTAAAATACATCTAGATACATCCATACCTACGACAGGTAATTCGGAACGGAGGGAGTACATACAACTAAAATTTGATACTGATGACATTTGTATCAACCACCAATAGTCAAGGATGTTGGATAATCAGCAACTAGTATTCACTGAGGGCCAAAGGCCAATATATATACATGTGTGTCAAAGTGCAAGAAACCCCTTATACAATGGGGATATACAGAAAGTGGACTATACACATCTAACACCCCGCCCCCCTCAAACTCATGGTGGGTCAACAACACTGAGTTTGGAGAGGAAAAAGCCATGCTGCGCTCGAGTTTGTGCCTTCGTGAAGAAATCCGCCAACTGTAACTCAGAAGGCACATAGTGAAGAGCGAGAGTCTAATCCTGCACAGCAGCACGCACAAAGTGGGCATCCACACCGATGTGCTTGGCAATCTCATGCTTCACCAGGTCATGTGCAATACTGATAGCTCCGATGTTGTCTGACAGTAAGGGAGTCGAGGTAGTAGCAGACACACCAAAATCCTCAAGTAACCACCGTAACCAGATCACCTCAGCCGTCAACATAGCCATTGCTCGCAACTCAGCCTCTGTACTCGAGCAAGAAATTGCAGTCTATTTCTTTGTCTTCCAGGCAATAAGAGAGCCACCAAAAAAAACACAGTAAGCAGACATCGAGCATCGATCAAAGGGATCACTGGCCCAAGTGGCATCAGAGTAGGCCTGGATTTTGAGAGAGCTGGAGCGGGGAAAGAAAAGGCGATGAGAGATCATGCCACGAAGATACCGTAGAATACGGAGGAGATGACTATAGTGGACAGAGGTGGGGGCTGAAACAAACTAACTGAGGATGTGGACAGGATAGGAGATGTCAGGACGCGTAACAGCAAGATAGACAAGGCTCCCTGTCGGTGTCAAAACCGGCGGATCTCGGGTAGGGGGTCCCGAACTGTGCGTCAAGGCCGGATGGTAACAGGAGACAAGGGACACGATGTTTTTACCCAGGTTCGGACCCTCTTGATGGAGGTAATACCCTACTCCTGCTTGATTAATATTGATGATATGGGTAGTACAAGAGTAGATCTATCACGAGATCAAGGAGGCTAAACCCTAGAAGCTAGCCTATGGTATGATTGTTATATATGGAGTTGATTGCCTACGGACTACAACCCTACGGTTTATATAGACACCGGATAGGGTTAGGGTTACACAGAGTCGGTTACAATGGTAGGAGATCTTGAATATCCGCATCGCCAAGCTTGCCTTCCACGCCAAGGAAAGTCCCATCCGGACACGGGAAGAAGTCTTCAATCTTGTATCTTCATAGTCCAGGAGTCCGGCTGAAGGTATAGTCCGGCTACCCGAACACCCCCTAATCCAGGACTCCCTCGGTAGCCCCTGAACCAGGCTTCAATGACGACGAGTCCGGCGCGCAAATTGTTTTCGGCATTGCAAGGCGGGTTCCTCCTCCAAGTCCTTCATAGAAGATTGTAAACACCAAGAGTAGTGTCCGGCTCTGCAAAATAAGCTTCCACATATTGCCATAGAGAGAATAATATTAACACAAATCAAATCTGCTGACGTATTCCGCAGTGCGTCACCACACTATAGCCAAGTCCTTCGCTCGAATCGTTTTCACTTTTCCACCTCAGCATGTTTTGCGAGGCGGTTTCCTTGGCACGTCTTGTCAAAGCAGAGATCGTGTACCCCTCTTTTACGGGGTTCTCATCAATACAGACGTGGGTAACCCAACCGCGCCACTTATCACGGCGCTTGGGAGGCAAGCGAGTTTTACTAGGCAGGTGGGGACGCACAACCGCATCCGCCCATATAAGGGGACAAGGATCCACCTTTTTACCTACGCCTTCTTCCTCCTTTGCCTATCCATGTCCTGCGCACCCGAGCTCCAGCGCCCAAGCCCGCACTTCCTACCTCAACCTCCTCCAGCAATGTCCGGAGCGGGAGGCAAGTGGATGGTCTCCTCCGTCATGGAGGGCCATGTCAAAAAGCTAAGGAAGGCCGGATACTTGTCCAAGGACATCGTGCACCGGCTTCCCGAGGAAGGGCAGCTTCTCCCCACCCCAAGGCCCCATGAGAGGGTAGTATTCCTTCCCCACTTCCTCCGCGGACTGGGTTTCCCACTCCACCCATTTGTCCGGGGGCTCATGTTCTACTATGGCCTGGATTTCCACGATCTGGCCCCGAACTTCGTCCTCAACATCTCGGCATTTATCGTCGTGTGCGAGGCTTTCCTCCGCATCCGCCCCCATTTCGGCCTCTGGCTCAAGACCTTCAACGTCAAGCCCAAGGTGGTGCGCGGCAGCCAGGCGGAGTGCGGAGGCGCCATGGCGGGCAAGTGGCCAACGTCCTATGGCTCGAGGGCTCCTTCGTGGAGACTCTGAAGGGGTGGCAATCATGGTGGTTTTACACCACCGAGCCGCGCGATCCGAAATGGATCGCAGCCCCCGAGTTCCGATCCGGACCCCCACGCGGCTTATGTCCTGGAAAGAGACGGGCCTGTCGTGGGGCGACGAAAAAGAGGTGACCGGATTGCAGACATGCATCCAGTCCCTGGTGAGCAAGCCGATCAAGCTTGTCAATGTAGTCCAGGTTATGCTCGTCCGCCGGATCCTCCCGTGTCAACAACGGGTCTTTAATCTGTGGGAGTTCGACCCGGCGCAGCACCAAACCCTTAACCGGCTCTTCGACACGACGTATGAAGACGTCTGGAAGGTGCTAACCAAAGGCGCCGAGGCTCCCACATCCGCTTCCGAGGACCGCGGATACAGCTCGCGGCGTCACGCTAGCGAGGTAAGCTATTTTCTCCTTTTACAGGATGTTAAGTTTCTTCATAGTTTGACTCTATGTGGGATCTAAACTCCCTCACCTTTGACAGGCTTGGCAGGCGCAGTCCGGATCGATTAACTGTCTGGCTCCCTTGCCCGAAGACCCAGCCCCTGCTCTCCTAGTGAAGCTGCTGGTTCAGGCGCCTTATGTGGTGCCGGAGAAGAAGGCCAAGAAGAAGAAGGCCACGGGGACTCGAAAGAGTACCCGTAATGTGGTGGTGTCGGACTCGTCATCCGACAAGTCCGAGACGCTCTCCTCCCGTGAGAACGAGGAGGAGGAAGAAGAACACTCTCCCCCTCCAGCGGGGGGAGGGAAGAAAAGGAAGGCCGCCCCAACAGGGGAGGCCGAAGGGTCCAGGAAGAGGAAGACCCCTCCGCCGAACTACTCCCCCAACGCCGAAGAGGACGAAGAGGAGTGGCCAGATAGGGCCAAGCGTCCGGCAAAATCGTAACTATTCGGATATCAGAGTAACTCATGACGTTGCTTTGCTGCATAGCCTTCCCTAATGTCGAACATAATTATGCAGCCCGCCCCGGGCCGAACTCAACGAGTCGTCGAGCGGCTCCCTGGATTCATCGGATGTGAACTCAGTTCCGCCCGCTGTCTCCCCCCGCACTGCGGATGACGCCGAAGTGGCGTCGCAACGAGCTCCGGGGCAGGAGGAGATGGTCCTGGAGGAGCCGCAAGGCGACCTCCCGGACTCCAGGAGTAAAGGGGACAAGACCCCCCAGGGCTCCAAGTCCGGCTTTGTGCCGGACACCACGCCGGAATCTTCAACAGTTCCGGACCGCGGTAGGCGAACTCCTTCCAAGAGGAGCAAGCCTTCTGAGCCGGCGGCCTCCGTCCAACCAGAGGTGCCGGACAATCTACTGGAGGTGCTTGACGGCACCTCCATCGACGAGGAGCACCGTACTATTATGAGTACGGTGATCCAAAAGGTTCGGTCCGCCAAGAGCGGACTGAGTGAAGCTTGTGCTAGCCTTCTAACAGGCTTCGAGGTAAGTAAAATATGTAAGAATATAACTGCATAGACAGTAGCCCCTGATGCTCTGTTTGGCGTTCGGAAAGAGAAGCCGAATAGAGGATCTACTAAATTTCGCAGGAGTCTAACAACAAAGAGTCAATATGCGTATGCAGGCTTCGCTGCTAGCCACCGCCGCACTGACTGTGGAGGTGGGTGCCCTGAAACAGGGACT